ACAGCGGAACTTTGTAACTGAACAAAATTATGTCTGTTTATAGAATTAAAGAGAAAGTATTATCACATAAACGAAGCAACTTAAACAACTTACATTCAAAGAAATGTTTAAAAAGTAAAAAATAAATCTTAAGTTTTTTTTTTTTTTTTTTTTTTTTTGTAAATTTGATACCCTTTAGATCATAATTATTCTTTATTTTAAAAATACGGTTTCATATTTTTAATTTTAGAATTCTGCATGCCATCTTACGAGATTTAAACTGATGATCTATAATCCGGAAAAATCGATAATCCGGAATCGAAGTCCCGACGAGTCCGGATTAACGACTTTTGACTGTATTGACATATAAAAGAATTATGGCACTCACAGCTCTCCTTGCTTTCAATATTTTTTTTTGCTTATAGTACAGTTAAACTAGGACTTGAAATGCCTATTTATTGGAAACTATTGTTTAGCATAAAATTTTAAAATAAAAATAAACAAACGTGAACCCAAGTGGAGTCTTAACTTTATAAACATTTCCCCAAGGATTTCTTAACCAGTGTAAACAAAAAAGAATCAAATGTTGGTGGATATTTTAAAAATCTGTAATGTAGACAGATGCTTGAGTGAATTTCTAAAGTTTCAAAAAATTATTATGCTTATTTAAGCTAATTAATCAGATGAAGGTAAAGATAAATATTTTAAAACTGTGATTACAAAATAAAATTCAGAGCTCTAAAATATTCGGTCTACCGGAAAGTTACGTCCGTTTTATGACAACAATTTTCGACACGTAAGCACATGTTTATTTGCCGTATGTTCGGCTCTCTATTTTTATCGCTTAATGTATACATACTGAAGTAGCAAGTTAACTACAACAAAGTTGATTCACGTTAGTTTTAAGTGTGATACGATAGTGTACCCATGGCCACTGATAAAGTTCATTTACGCCACTGTATTTTATACAAATTTCAACAAGGAAGAAATACTATAGAAGCATGTAGAAATTTATTGAAAGTTTGGTGAAGGTACAATTTTGATAAGGCATGCAGAAAGATGGTCGAAAAATTTGAAGCAGGTGATTTCAACTTTTTGATAAGCCAAGTTCGGGGCGATCACCTTTGATTCCGACAATGTTGTGACAAGCAAGGAGCCTTTTTGACTACATCGCACAAGGCTTTAATTACTCAGCAAACCATTCGAACCATATTAAAGATAGGATTGGTTGTGGAAATATTTAAAATGGCTGCCACATGAATTTAGTCAGAAGAATTTCGATGATTCTGGCTTCTCGACCTGAACTTCTTGAACCGGATTATAACTGGGATGAAAAGTGGACATCATAAGGGAAAGGGCATATTGTGAACCCAGAAAAACTAGCCCTCCCACTTCTAAACCAAATTTGACCCTGAATATGGAGAATTTTGTGTGTATATGGTAGGGCATTCGAGGACCAGTACATTATGAGCTTTTAAAACCGAACAAAAAGCTGAATTCGGAGAGGTACTGTCAGCAATTAGACAATTTAAAGACAACAGTCCAAGAAAAGAGGCCAGCGATTTTCAACAGGAAGGGCATCGTACTGCATCATGATCATGCCATGTCTTTGGAGACTTGTCAAAAAATTGCAACTAGGCTGGGAAATTCTATCACATACACCATATTCCCTGGACTTAGCACCCTCTCACCACCACTTGTTTTTGTCCTTACAAAATTTTTTGAATGGAAAAAAAATTCAAAAATAAAGTAGATATCAAACAACAGCTTAATTTTTTGCATCCAAAGTTACATCATTTTTCAAAAATGGGAATATATAAATTGTCCTCACACTGGCAAGAAGTCATTAATAATAATGGTAATTATATTATTTTAATAACGTTTACTGACGGTAAGAAAAATTTGTATTTTGTTTTATTCCAAAACTGGACAGAACTTTCCGATAGACTGTATAAATAATGCACTATTTGCTTAATCAAGTCAGAGCTCTAAATAAATAATGCATTGTTTGCTTAATAAATTTTCATAATTTTGTTATGTTTATCAGTATAATTGAAATTGATGCTGATTTAATGAACAAAAGTAACTAACCAAAATGCCAAATATAATTCCCTTCTCACTCCTAAAATATTCTTTCAAATGGCTGATAAACAAACTAAATATCCTAATGCTAAATTTTCAATATAACCAGGAGGAAAGAGAGAGTTTCGAACTCCTAAGAATTAAGAAAGTGATTAGACTTTTTATGGCCCTAAATATCAAGGATTAAAAAAGAGGTGTTCTCTTCTTCCCCCTTCCAAGTTCACATTTTTCTGGCTGCATAGGATTTATGCCTTGTTTGCTTTCATATCAAATTTCTGGAACAAACTGTTGAGCTTTACACAAAATTCTTGCTAATCAGTAGAAATTATGACAAAACTGAAATATCTTCTCTAATTTATGCCAAAGTTATAATCTATTTCCGATAAGAAAATTATAAATTTTGTGCATAAGAAATTTTTTAAATTGTTAAAGTTTTTTACATAATTCATTGAAGGAGGTGCTAAGGCACCTCTTTCAACCCCCTAGCTATGCATGTGTTTTAATAAATATGATACATAATTATTTTATCCTTCCTTACCAACAATTAATTATTCAAAAGCATTGCACACAATAAAAAACACAAACTTTGCACAGATTCAATGCTTCCGCTTAGGAAAATGAGAAATACATAGCATGGCAATTTAGATAAGAATTTTATATTTATTAACCCTTTCAGGGGCACAATGTTATGATTTTTTAAAAGTTATGAAAATGTAAGCATAATGACATGCAATGGTCCTATAGACAACATAAATGAGTTTAAAAATTTTTTTTCATCCCCCTTTATGGAAAGGGGACCGGTTTCGCCTTGAAACCAGCGCCCCTCTAGAGCATTTAAGACCAAACATTTGCTTATTTATCTTTACTTTGCTGAAAAGTATCTGAACATAACCCAAATTGCAGATTATACTAGTAAATTACTGAACAACTAATAAAGTAAGTAATATTTTGCATAAAACACATTTTTAATTATAACTAAAAAATTTAAAACAGGAAACAAAAAAGTATGAGACAAAAAGTAACTAATAATAAATCTAAATTACTTACATAAAAACTATGAAATATTTTTTAAAATTATGTTAAAAACTAAGAAAATTATATGTAAAAAAAAAATAAATCAAGATGCATACAATTATTTATACTATGAACTAGAAGCATGAGAAAAGCGACCGCTAAGAGAAGCCAAAAAAACGCAACTGTGAGTTTTTTCAGTGAGCTCTGTGTCTCTGTAAAAATAAGAAATGTTTTCTCTCCTCTCTCAAAAAAGCTCCATAAATCCTCATCTTTGAACGCCACTCAAATGAAGATATGGTGCAACTGTTTACAGCAGTCATCCGAAAGCAATAAAACACAAAAAAAAAATCTCGGGCTGCGTCATCTGATCCTTTCTTCGATGTCTCAGAGGGGCGGTGGTTTCATACTGAAACCGCAATGAAAACATTAAAAATTAAAAGGGTTCCATTACTTTTTTTTGTGAACTAAGGACATTTCATTACTCATTGATGCCTGCTTATAAAATATATTGTGAAAAAATTAAAAATTTTTGGATTTTTTGTTTTTAAAATGGATCAAAAAGAGTAGTGTGGAAAAGAAGCTATTTTTGAATGATTCATATCAATTAATGGATGCCCAGAAAGATTTGGTGCTGCCATCTGTTATCAGCTCTAAGCAGTAATTTAATTTTAGCAGCAGTTTTGAGAAAAAAAACAAATTTTCTAAATTAAAAAAAAAAAATGTTGAAAATGCGGTTTCAAGGCGAAACTACCGCCCCTGAAAGGGTTAAAATTGATCTTCCAAGAAATATTTCAAATGAAATGCAGGGGATAACTATTGGTTAAAATATGTTTCAGATGGTATAATTCAGCCATATCTACTTAAATTTAGAAGAATTTCAATTCAGACTTTAGGGACAGAGTAATTAAAGTAAAATAGTATACCTTAGGAAAACTTTCTTCATATTCTATTTGATTAGGAAATAGTTGATGATGAAAACGAGGAGCATCAGTGGCCCTTTTTATGTCTTCAGATAACCACAATGTTCGAAACATACTCTATAAAAAAAGAACATACATTTTTCAGCATAAAAATATAAGATAAAATAAAGTTCTAGTAATATAATATTTAAGGAATATATGAATATTCAGGATTAAAACAGTTAAAGACTAGTCAATGAATTCTTATTAGAAATGGAACCTATATTAAATGTTAATTATGGTTTGGTTTATTTAATTATGGCAAAACCACTAGGGCTATCTGCCTAAGGGAAGTGATGCCTTCGTGGAGGATTTTCTAAGGGAAACTGGCTCGTATACAAGTTATACATGGGGAAAACCACGAAAATGCCCATGCAGCCAGCTCGTCCACAGGATTCGAACCTCGGGCTGAACTACCAGTGTTCAGCGACTTTACCGCTCGGCCGCTGGTGGGCCAAATGTTAATTATGCAAAACTTATACAACCCTTAAAAATTGACATATTGTGGTCACATACATGTCACTTGGAATATCCTTATAGGTATAAAAATATAACATTTTATTTAACACTTCATAAACTGAGCTAAAATTCAGTTACAGGCAAAATTCAAAGGCGAATTTCAAGCAAAATATAAGTATAAATTTGATATTTTTCATTACGTTATTTTCACACGTATGTTTTTACAAATATCTAGTAAAACTTTTTTAAGCAGTTCTTTTAAATGACTTGTTTTGTTAATCAGTAACAAAGAGATTAAATTTTCCTGAATGGCAACACATTGGCACGTGAAAGTATTTTATTTTAGGCACTGGCAACACATTGCCTTTAAATAGCCAAATTTATATATTAAAAGCGAAAGTAACTATAAAAACAAAAACAATATAATGCTTTTAATGTGTCCAGACATTTCTTTTAAATAGCCAAATTTATATATTAAAAGCGAAAGTAACTATAAAAACAAAAACAATATAATGCTTTTAATGTGTCCAACTAGGGTAATTTCATAAAAATATTTTAAGATTTCTAATTACACATAGCACAATTTAAGTGCATTTTTATTGAAATAAATCATATTAAAAAGTAGGAAAAAAGATTCTTAAGAATAACATTTATTGCTTTTAAACTGCTTGGCTTGCTATTCAGTAACACACAGATTAATTTTGAAAGTTATGTAGACATTTTAAGCTTTTCAGAATGCTTTTAAATGACAACAACCAATTCAGCATGGTGGCATATGGACAAATGGTGCCATATTCAACATGGCGGCATATGACAAAATTAACATGGTGGCATATGGAATACAAATGTATTCTATATTAGGTAGCGGAAATACACTGCTTTTAAATAATTAAGTTAATTGATTAAAAGTGAAAGATAAATATTTTACATTTTTCTGAATGTCAACAGTCTGGCATGATGTAGATAAAAATGTTTATTTCAAGGACAGCTCACTTTTAAATGCATGAATTTTTAATAAAAGAATTCATTAAATTCATAAAAATAGAAAATAAACAAGAAACTAATTCAAAATTAAAGCTTCGAGGTGCACATATTTGGGTGGAGGAGTATCTGTTCGAAATTCAGTTCCATTAATCTAGGTGCACCCACATTTTGAAAATAACAGTTGCCTTTCACGTTTTAGCTCGACAAAAAATTAGTCATTAACAAGTTTGTGAATGTAATGCAAGGTCACTAGTTTTCCGTGGGGATGCGGATACTGAACTCAAAATCTGTTGGCGAAATCCAAATACCAAAATCTGTTGTTGAAGGGTTTTTTTTTTTAAATCTTTTTTTAAAGGCAAATAACATTTCTTGATTTACTATTATCCCATTTTACACATAATAAGAAATTTCTGCTTACAATAGTGTTTAGGCCTTTCTTAAAAATTTTGAAAAAAACTTGTCCACATCAACAAACAGGATGTCTGCAAATGAAGCAGTTTTCATGAACAGATAAAATTTCAGCAAAGGATTTTGCTGTACAACAAAGGCAGCAAATTTCTACATACCTGATGGCTAATGTAAAATGCATATTGATGATGCAGATTGACCATATGTTTTCCTTAATCAAGAATATGGAATTAATAAATCAATATTAAGGAAATAAAAAAGGAAGAATAGTATGTTATTTTAAGTAGTGGAATTGTATATTTCTTTGTTGGTTTTTTGCATAAGAAGCTTCAGCATGTATCATAAAAAAAAAAAAATTAAAAATAAAAAAAAGGGGGGTGGTGGAGGGAAGTTGTGAGTCATTTGAGCAAGTTTCTGAGTTTGAAAGAGAAAAATTTTGACTTGCAGAGACAGTAGATTGTTCTTTCAAGAATTTATATTCATATTGGACAAAATGAAGCCACAGTGATATGAATATGTTATTGTTAAGTGCAGGAGAAAGCAGACTAACTCATGGAAATGATTGCACCAGTACCATCAGACTGCCAAACAACAGAACATGATTATTGTGTGCAAGCCTTGCTCCATTAGTTTTGGTGCCCTAGGCAATCAGTACATAGGCCATCCACGTAAACTGATAATTTAAAGCAAAATATACCTTTATTTTTCAATTATGAGAACAACTTAGTTGGTACTTAAATAGTTGGTTACATTGCTTAAGCTTGAAACTGGTCCTGATTATGGAAAAGGCAATGATGGATCATACATTAACATCAAGAATTAGGGTATGCTGCATAACGACCTCTACTAGCATGCATCATCTGACATGCAGAGGAGAAAAACCTTTGCAAAGTATACATTTACTGATTTTATACAATTATACCAAAGAAATTTGTCAATGAAATGGTACACTGAATGCTAGACAAGAACAAATGTGTAACATAACGTTGTCTTTTCAGATGAATCCTGATTCTGTTAAGAATACCATAATGATTGTATCTAAATCTGGTAGCATCACAGTGACAGACATAATGACCCTTAGCATCACTATACTGGTCCATCACTAGAGTTTATGGTTTGAGATGCCACTACACTTTGCTTCCGCACCTGAATAATATGCATTGCCAACACACTCAAGCCATTATTAAATCTCCGAAGTTTTGAACTGTTTCCTTTATCTTTAAACATTAAGGCAAGTTACAGCAGTTATTGCCAGCCATATCAGCTACATGAAATTTTGATTTATTTTTGTCCTACAACTTAGATGGATGAGTAATTTTAATCAACTCCTTATCTTATACTGTTTGTTTAATAAATATAAATTTGATATCCCTTATTCTTCATGGTGCTGCATTTTGGATGGCTAACAGCATATAAGATAATGCTTTATATGTTTGGAATGAAAGACTGTCAAGCCGCTGATAAAGAATTTTTTTTTTTTTTTTTTTTTTTTAGCTTTGCAGTGGACCGTAAAAATTAATTCATGGGCTGTATGCAGTTTGTTAGCCACAGTCAGCCACAGATGCAGATGCAGATATTAAATGAAACAAAACAGGGCTGATTGCAGCACAATTCAAAAAACCAATCCGCAACTGCTTAAGTCTATAAATTTAAAATTTATTTAAAAACACCTAAATTTAAATATGTTAGTCCAGTGAGCTAAAATGTGAAAAAGATACTTGACACATTTTAGGTGTGTAAGTGACTTGATAGTAAAACAGAAGTGGCACATTTTTTAATAATTAGCTTATAAAAAATCGCAAAAATTATAATTTATGCCAATTTTGGGTACTTTCATCATTTCAAAAGTTTATTATAAGTGGTATAACGGAAAGACTGCTCCCGAATAACCTACAGTAAAACATTATTCTTATCTACACTTTCAATATTTATATAATGCATTAAATAAACAAAAACATATTTAATACAGAAAGTAATACATCTTCAGAAATGTAGAAATCACTTAAAAAAAAGTATAATTCTCTATTTTTACCAAAGCAGAAGCAGTAATAATGCGTGTACCACCAGCACCACCAACAACCATATGGACATCTCCATCAGCATTTACAACAATTGTTGGACACATCGACGATAAAGGCCGTTTTCCAGGAACTATGTAATTTGCAGGAGATGGTGGAATTCCGAAGTAGTTTGTGATGTTAGGAGATGAAAAGTCATCCATAGCATTATTTAATATAATGCCAGTCGATGGTGATCTACATAAACTCCCAAAGCTTAACAGGAATAAAAAATCTTTAAGTACTAATTTTGATAAAAGAAATAAAGTTCATACTTAAATGATACAATGAATGCATGAGCATGCAAATTCTTTAGAGATTGAAGTGATATTTTCATTGTGTTAAAATAGAATTTAAACATGCATAATCATAAAAATTAGATCTTGTTATAAGAAGTCCCTCATATACAGCAACAATATATGCTAAATATATACCAAGGATTTCTCAAACATTGTCTAAATATAACAATGTTTTCATTTTTTGTTCAATAATGTACTCTAATAATGACAATTAACTATGCTCACAAAACTCTTGAACATAATGCCTTAGCTGACATTCTAACTGTCTGTTTTCATTCTCTACTTTGTAAATAAAAGCTAACATTTTTATATAACCATTATTCAGCAGAATGCTGCCTTGGCAGTATAATGGTTAGCTGAGAATTTCTAGTTTGAAACCAAGGGTGTGGATTTGATTATTGCATAAGACTATGTTGTAGATGGGTTGTCTTCCTTTTTCACAAAAGTAATACAGTACAAAGTCCGAAATCCAGATGTCCATTATCCGGAATCATCTAAAATCTGGACCTCAAAACCACCAACATTTTCTCATACACTTTACGCATACGCATTTGATTCCCCTCTTCGCGCATAATAAAACATCTGGAGAGTCCCGATTCTTAATTTCACTTCGACACTAAATAAAATATCTTGTTATTGAAGAAACAATTATTTTAGCATAAATTTGTACAATCAGTAATTTGGCTCCGTCGCTGCGCATGTGCTTGGCATAGATCTCAAGCCCAAACATTCCACATAGATACATCGTTGATCTGACGCCAACTCGGCGACAAATCATTATTATTTATTATACTTTCCTTTCATCATCGCATGTTTATCAAAACATGACAAATTGAATAATGACTCATGTAGCGATGCCTAAACAATTTTTTGTTAGTAACTGAATGATAAAGGTGTATGGTAACCTTTTATGTTGCCATTACACCTGGCGATGATTACAAATTTAAGTTAAATGCACTAAAAATATCGACGAGGAAAAATTTACCAAAACTTTCTTTCCATATGCTAAAAATAGATTTTGTTGATGATTCTCACAGACCCAAAGATTACAATTACATGTATCTGAATGAAGAAAAACTGATTTGTTATTCATATAAACCCAGAACCAGCATCAAGGTTCGTGTGGCCGTATCAAGTCAGAAAATTTAGGACCCACAGAGACTGCATCAGGCGGTAAGATATCTAGTGCCTGCTCTCAATAAGGCTTAAGTATATGGTGGGAATTTATTTATTCAGAACTCTGATAAGCCTTAAGCATGTGCAAGAAGCAGACATAAATATAATAAATAATACAATTCAGGCTTGTCTCAGTGCGCAATAGAAGCAAGATAAAATTTAACAGAACAATTTGTCGTTAGTCGCCAAGCTCATGTTGCATAGCCAAATATGTATAGTCAAGGATAGCTAAATTTGATGATGATAGCCACTAATTTTAAAGGTTTTTGGATATCGAAAACAAAGGTGAAATTTTCCAATTAACGGATTTTGTAAAGAAATGTGAAGATGTGGTAATAAATGAAGATAATATAAAAGAAGTTTTTCATTGTGATGACAATTCTTCTCAATCATCAATCAATTAATGAATGGTGAAATCTGTAATATGGTTCTAGATCCAGAAAACACCACTACCGATAGTGAAGAAAGTGACAGAAGTTACTGAAAATGAGAAATTTTGATTGACAAGTTGGTCGGAATTTTCGAAACAGCAGTTACAGGACTTCAACAATTTAACTCAACAAGAGATTATGTCTGTCTACAGAATTAAAGAGAAAGTATTAGCATAAAAAATGAAGCAACTAGCATTGAAAGAAATGGTTAATGGGGTAAACAAATAAATATTAAGTTTTTTTTTTTTTTTTTTGTAAATTTTGATACTCTTTAGATCCTAAATACTTCATTATTTCATAAATCATGATTTCATATCTTTAATTTTATAATTTCTACATGCCATCTTACTAGGTTTAAACTGATGATCTGTTATCCGGAAAACCCAAATCCGGAATCCGACTCCGAAATCCAATCCGAAGTCCTGACGAATCTGGATTTCAGACTTTATACTGTATTGGTCAGCCCTGTAATGCATCATGTGCAGCGTTCTTGGTGACAAGAGGACTAAATTGACTAATGGTTTCAACTGTACTTGATGGATGCTCAGTGAGAAAATGTGTGGCCATTTGAAGGAATGGTTAGAAGACTGATGGTTACAGGTTGAATGTTATGCTTGCTCGCATATAACCTTCACCAGTTTCAGAATTTCTTTTCAAAGGTTAGTTAGTGTTAATAACAGTGCAGTTTAAATACTGCAACACAGAGATTAGATGGTTAAACCAACATAGCTATTTGGAGGGTTCATACTTTTAATGATCACCATAGTATGAACATTTTATAAACTGCAAAACTCTATAAAGCCATTGTTCTCACCATTTCCCCTGTAGGAAAATAAAGCATTTAATCTCAGGAGCAAATAAGTACAGTAAAGCATTAACTAACTACATAAGTATAGTTTTTAATAGTTAAAATAACACAGTAAAAGCTCCACTACCTGGAGTAAACTACTGGAAGGTTTTTATACTTTAGATACATTTTTTAACGAAAAATAATGCACATAAAAGAGAGACTTCTAAAGCTATTATAAAGCACATAAAAAACTATGAATAAGGAGAAAAATTAATTGTCAAGAGTTAATTTAACATCATTAATGGATAAACATCATGTCACAATGCAATCACAAGATCTCTGCTTTGTTTTATGTATACCTAATTAATTCTCAATAAGCCAATTAAGTTTTTGTGAAGAACGATACAAGATAACTAATATTTATCTAATTAAGACACAATAACACGCCGAATAAACACCAATTCAGAAGACAAACAACAAAAATCAGCGTCATATTTACAAAATTTCCACAGGACTAGTTTCGATGGTTTTAAAAATTTTTTTTTTTCCCCCCCCCCGGTTTTGCAGCTGAGGATGGTGGTTCGGTAAAACCATCGAAACTAGTCCTGTGGAAATTTTGTAAATATGACGCTGATTTTTGTTGTTTGTCTTCTGAATTAATATTTATCTGTTTTTGTTTTCCATTGTGAAACAAAGACTAACATGTGAAACTACATGGAAGAGAAAGCAAAAGAGTCTTTACAAAATTACAGGACCCAGGTGACAAGAAATATGTGCATTAATGGGCATGATTTCCACTTTATTTCAAAATGGATAAATAATGCAAATGTTACATGAAAAACAATAATAAGTAGTTTAAATTTTATGTGATATACCTACAATTTGCATTTCTCGATTACCTAAATAAAGAGTGATCAGTTCTTCCAGACTCCTGCTGGAATAACTAACTGGCAAAATCAGCAGATAATTTTATGTGTTTAACACCTACAAAACAGGTTTTATGTCTAAAATGCATTTGGGGGGAATCTAACGCAATGCTAAATGTAGGCTTTTGATGTTCAAGCTGATAACAAATACAATGACTCTTTTGTAATTTTAAACTAGGAATTTCTTTTTCCAATTATTTGTGTTTTCTATCATCTTGCATTTTTAATATGTTCAACCATCCAGAATTTTTATGTATCCAACATTTGGCATTTCTCAAGCTTTCTGGATAGTTGAACTTTTACTGTGCACAGGAAAAAATAATACCTTTTTAACATATGCATTCTAGCTATTTGATAATCTCCCACAATTTGAATACAAGAAGTCTTAATTAAAATATATTATTCAGATTTTTAAATAAGATTCATGATATAATTCAATTACAAAAGAAAAAATATTTTTTGCACTAGTTTTCAAAAACCAGGAAAAAAATATTACAAGTGACAAATAAAACAATTTTATTTTGAAAAATAAATAAATAAAAAAAAATAAAATAAAAATAAAGAATAAGATACATTCTACAATCTGCTCTTAAAAATCAAAAATGCCATAGTAAGAAAGAGTTATCTGATTGTAACAAAATTTCATATACGGATACTTTTTGATTGAATGTGTAAATGATTAAGACTGAGGTGAATATCGGGTGCATGCCAAATCTGGTGATTTCTATGTTGGATAATGGCATTACTCTGGCAAACTATTTTTTGTTAGAACTTAAATCAATGGGAACGTGGAATATTCCTCTCTCAGCCTTACATTTTCTTTTTTGATTGCTATTGTTATTTTTAAATGATGAAAACATAATCGCTTCTTTATTTTTATTACATTGGAGTGTATATTGAAATTTCAGTTGTTCTTAGGTGTCTGTCATCGTGGTTGCTGTGTAATGCCAAGCCTGTGCACACGGGCACGAAAAATTTTTTTTTTCTTAATTATCATATAATCCCTATTTACTAATTAAATTTTGTATATTTTCAATTGCTAAAGTGTGTTTTCTTTTGATATGTTGATATCATTTGGTGATGTATGAAACATATCAATAGTTTGATGATCTAGTTAAAAAAAAAAAGCCAAAATGTACAATGCATATACGATAAATAACTTTTATCATGATTAAATTTTGGGGGCCAATGAATGAATAACTGGGGTTACACAGCATCAAAATTGAGCATTTGAACAAGGAGAAATTCGAATTATATAGCCTAACTTCCATTTGAATCCGATTCTGCCAACTGATTAATATGGTTAAAACCGTATCATAACCGTTAAAACCGTATCAATGACGGTCATATGTAATCACAGTACAACCATATGACCATATGAGACAGGATATACCCAACTTAAAAGAAGCAAGACCATTAAATGAAAGGCTCACTTGGCATTTGTATGGGAGTGATGCCACCCTTCAACAATGCTGACAGTATTAGTTGAATCATGGCAGAGCATAACATCAAGAAATAAGTAGCTGAACTAGAGGGATGACAGAACATGAGAACAAAGTGATTTTATTAGTGGATTTTGCAGCATTTGATTTATCATTATCAACAACCTGACTTACAATTAAGACATCAGTGCCCATAAGGACCATTGATATAGAACTCAAAGAATGGGGTCTGTGCCCATGACACCCACTACACTGATTAATACTCCTCTATACAGACCAAAAAGCATGTTTGTAGTGATACAAGCTCAAAGCTCTTTCCACTTGGAATTTCACAGGCTGTAGTAGAATTGTTTTTGGTAATGAGTCCTGCTTTGAATTGAGAAAAAGATGAATCAGTGAAGTCATGTCTGGAGATATACAGAATAAAGGTCGGATAATGACCTGAACTTGCCTGTCAAACAGCCCAACAGCAGAAAGTATGATCTGAGATATCATTTGATAGCTGGGCCCCACTGGTTGCCATCCACAACATCCTTACAGCATGGCAGTACATCAATGATATTCTACACTCCATTGCATTACCTTCCTTTCAAGGCATTCCAGGCTTTAATTTCCACAGGATGATGCCAAGCTGCATGTGGAAATCCTTTCTAATAATTATATTCATGCTTTTCTGATCAAGATTACCAGATCTCTCCTCAATAAACCCTATTTGGAGTTTGATAAACGGCACCTTCGACCAGAAGAGGATAATCACTAATCTTACTTTACAGCTGGGAAGAATTTGGTAAGAAAGCTGGCAAGATGTCATACACCAATGCTATAAATCAATACCAAGCTAGATAATAGCTTATATAACAGCCAGATGCAGGGCAACACCTATTTGTGGTATGTAGCTAGCTGTATTGCTTGAATAAAATATTATATTCCTCTCTGATTTTAACCGTTTCTTTTTCAATATACATATATCAATTTACTGAATTCTGTCTCATTCAGATAAATTTTTCTTGCCTTTTCCCCCTTCTTTAAAGTTTATTTCATTTCCCATTTACCATTTTATATGAATTTAGCCTCTTTTGCCTTAAAAAAATGAATTAATGTGAAAATAACAGCGCTATAAAAATGAAATTATAAACATGCTGATTGATAAAAAGTAAGCTATGCTAACAGTTTCAAATTATCCAATGCCCACATTGTTACATGTTATAGAATCATAAGGATGTCCTAAAATAACCCTGCCAGATTAAAAGGAATATTTGAACATTTACTGTAGATAGATGCAAGAAAAGTTATTATATATGAAGCTACAAAAATACTCAACAATAAAGAGAGATAAGAAATTTTCCCTAACACAAGGCAAATTTTTAAAATTAAAAATCATTCCAACAACAGAGGCTAATTAATATCTTTGAGCTTTTGATGTGGGACTCAACAGCACTTTAGTATAAGTAGACTGACTGTCAGCTAATATGCAGCTTATGTTTTTATGAATTGGGTGGAAGAGAAACTACCATAGTTGCAGAAAAATAAGTCCTATAATATACAAAATTCAATACATGGAGAGCAAAAACGTGCTTTCTATAAACATTTAAAATGTTACAAAGTTGGCAAGGAACTGTAAAATTTTCTTAATTTGGCAACAAATTTACTGCCAAGATCAGCACTAACACCATGTATTTCTGGTTTTATTTCAATTATTTTCACCATTTCAATCTCTCTTGCACATAACTATGAATGCTACAAAATAATGCAATTACATATATGTAGATAAAATAAGCAAACAGAAATTAAAACATTACACAAAATTCACAATCAATAAGTTATATAAAAATTGGGACAAATCAATTAATAAAAACAAATACACAACAATTTCAAACAGACAAATGTCATTGAAAAACAAAATATAAAGAAACAAACATTTACATAAATACTGCACATAAATAAATAATGTACTAAAATCAATGAAAATAAATGCGCAACAAAACCAAATAAATAAATAACAAAAAGGGATGTAGAAAACACAGCTACTTATATGTCAGTCTATTCAGCAGGAAACCTGTTGTAAAACGTTTGCACATCTGTGTGAAGACAGTGACTGTCAACGTCTAATAAACAAGGGTTTAGCATGGTCATGGTATTTACAAGAACAAGGAAAGGGAAACAGTTCAAGAAAATGGCAGGAGCTTTGAAATAATATATCAAGCAAGAACAATGAAGCATAGTGATATTTTTTTAAGCGAAGAAGCAAAACCTATACAGGTTCATCACTGGATGAGAATTTAGTGCAATGGCAGATACGCGAGTCATGAATATAGAAAAACTGACATCAGTAGTGTTGAAGATTAATTTTACTCAGGCACAGCAGTCATAGATGACAACATTGCAGGCATAATGAACATGGCACAGGAAACCCATTATATCAAAACCAAATATTAATAGTGGATCAGTCCATTACATCATTTATCGCCAGTTGAAGTTCTTGAAAATGTGTATAAGATAGACATACAAGTACGTGACAACTGATATGAATGAAAAATGTAACAACGCTTCCGCTGATATGTGTCTGATACATTTCTGCAGCGCATGATCATTTGAAAAGAATGCTAGAATTCTGAATAGAATGAAATTACAGGATAAACATGTAATTTTGTTTGTAATGTACAAGTACCTGCATACCTAGCAGAAAGAATTCAAGTACTGTGATATCTATGAGCTTGTTAAGTGTATGAACCAGCAAAGCAGTACTGATCTGTCAGTTTTTTGCACATAGAAATAAGCACAATATATTTTACACACTGACTTTAAGTACAGTTGAACTCACTAGGTGTTTATAGTACTTGTTACTGACACCGCATCTCCGTTGGCTGCTACAACAGATACATGAGCAGTGCCACGATCATTTGTCACTTCCATCTCAGGCTTATAAAATGAAGTTGGATGTGTTTTCTCATCAGATATCTGTCGCCATATGGATGAAGCATAATCCCTAGATACTAAATTAGAAACTAACTGAAAAGAAAATTTTGTAAGTCAAATATAAAATATCTAAACTAAACGATAATTTTTATAAGAAAACAGGGAAGAAAGAAGAGTTCTTACTTGAGTTATATTAACAAATGCATCATCGCCCAATTGTGTTCTGTGGGCAAAAGCAAATTTAAATGCTTCTGTTATTCGATGATACATGAGAACAGCACTATCAGTAGCCATAAAATCATCAGCAGTCATGTTGTAATTACTTAAAATATTCAAAATGAAAGACAGAATGACTCCACTACCAGGAGGAGGTACAGAATGCAAAAACAATTTCTCAGCACCTTCAAGTTCTAATTTCACGGCTGGCTTTAATTTAGGTTGATAATCAGCAAGGTCTTCTTTGGTAATTATGCCACCTGCCAAGCATTGTTATTCATTAATAAAAAATTAGTAAATCGAGATGACATCAATGCAAAGAAAATTAATATATATAATGAAATAATTTACAAATTTTATTTGCAGATTTCACACTGGCATTCTTCCATCTTTGTTTCTCTTCTAATGTGTTATTTTCTTACAGTAAAAATGTCAGATATGCAGATTTCAATGCATGGCATTATCATACATAATCATATGCTGGTACAGTACAAGATCAAAAATGCATATAGCCTGGGATCAGAGATTGCATAGATTTTATCATTTTTCAGCTTTTAGATCATGGAATAAACCCAATTAGATTTCATCAAAAAAAAGTGGAATAAATACATTGTATATAATATGCTAAATACACATTTTGCTTAATAATAAAAATCCTAGTATATCTGCAAACAGCTGAACTCTTTTCCTGATGTTATTAATCAACTAAGATATTAAAGATGTATACAAATTTTAAGCTATCAGATAACCAATGTTAATATTTTGCTGATCCTATAATACTACAGTCAAAAGTCGTTAATCCGGACTCGTCGGGACTTCGGCGATTCCGGATTATCGATTTTTCCGGATCATAGATCATCAGTTTAAATCTGGTAAGATGGCATGCAGAAATTACAAAATTAAAAATATGAAACCATAATTTATGAAATAAAGAACAATTATGATCTAAAGGGTATCAAAATTTACAAAAAGAAAAAGCTTAATATTTATTTGTTTACTTTATTAAACATTTCCTTCAATGTAAGTTGCTTCGTTTCATGTGATAATACTTTCTCTTTAATTCTATTAAACAGACATAATTTCTTGTTTAGTTACAAAGTTCCGCTGTTCAAGTCCTATAATTGCTGTGTTGAGAATACCGACTAATTTGTCAATCGAAATGTTTTCGTTTTCAATAACCTCTGGGTCACTTTCTTCACTATCGGAAGCGAATTATAATGACGAGGAACTTGATTTAAATCATATCAAAGACGGAGTACATCGAGATGAAATACTAAACTTAGTACGGAATTATAAACCAAATAAAATAAAAACATCTGCTCTGAAGATAAGGATAGTGCTGACAGATCAACTTCCAATCCGCAGCGTGAAATTGATAAACAGATTTCGGATTTCAAAACATACTTTCGCTTTGTAGATACAAATTACATATTAGTAAATATATATCGGAAATTCTATTTGACATAATCTTTCTAATCTATCATGACGATTCATGTCATAAATGACGTTTCTGCCCCCCCCCCTCTGCCGCAGAGCAGCGTGAAATTGATAAACAGATTTCGGATTTCAAAACATACTTTCGCTTTGTAGTAAATATATATCGGAAATTCTATTTGACATAATCGAAAGTTCAAGCTTACTTTTATAAAATTGCTCTAACAGTCTGCAAAAAATAATAAGCCGGATCCAATTCGAAGATTAAGGAACAACGCAATCTGCAACATTAACTGAATTAGATAACTTTAGCTTAGCGTATAACTCCGTTACACATTAAACGCGCATGCGCACAAACATATTCGCAGCCGTAAGGGTCTTACGCGCTCTCGTAAACGCCTGTGCGCATGCGTGAACGCGACGCATGCGCAGAAAGTTTGTAGCTTTGAGGTCCGGATTATAGATCATTCCGGATTATGGGTGTCCGAATTAACGACTTTTGATTGTATTATTATAAGAAGACAGCCCACTTTAACAATTATCTTCTGGAATAAGCTGTAAGTTCTGATGCAGTAGTTCATAACTGTGTTCTATTATTGTAGAGCAAGTTCTATTGTTTTTCTTATTCAATATGACTTCTACTATTTTCTTTCTTCTGATACAATACACTTTGTTTCCATACCATTTGTAACATGTCAAATCAATGACAAAGGTAGCCTATAAAGAATGTCCAGCATCTAAGTAATTTTCTAAACTCAGTATGATTAAGATTAAGACCTTAAATCAACTAATTAAGCTCTTCCAGCTGTATGTCTTCAGATTATGAAATTAGATATTGCTCTGCAAACATGTACATTGTCACACTAACAAGATAAAAGGTCTATTAAAAACTGTCACACGTATATAAAATATATTATTGTCCAAGATGTCTTATTAAATGTTACTTACATTAAGAACATAAAAAAATCCATATTCTTCTTAAATTACATTAAGGAGCCAGTGTATAGCACGAACAATCAGCCCCATATTATTACTGCCATGGGTTTCTAAATTCTACTGTCAGCATAAGCTAAGTTTGTAAATGCAATTCACAAACCATCTGGATCATGCAAACCCAGACCATAAACCATTAACTCATTGTATCACATGACCTACTCCCAATGATCTAAAGTTAATGAAGCTCACACCCCTATTAACCCTTTCCTATATAATTTAAAAGTGAGTAATTTTACAAGAAATGATTACTTATTTTTCATTAAAAAACATGTTTCATTTCATAATTTGTACATATTGTTAATTAAAATTACATTATTTAAAAGTTTTGGAACGAGAAATTGTGTTAAAATGCTGCAGTTTTCAGTGAAAGAAACAGGAAATAGTTTTTGTTGATCTACATAATTTGTATTTAATTTCTCATCTTGAAAGTTTTGTTTCGAGGACTACGGTAACCCCTCAGTTATTATAATATTCAACAGCAACTTTAGTTACATGATGAGCGTAACTCATCATTGTACTGCAAGGGGCAGTCTCTGGTCCTATGTAGTCTTTTCATGGGCCCTTTCACTCCCACTTTCCTTATTTTTATGAGAGAAAACAAGGTTTATGAGCAGTTACAGCATTACTTAGGGGTCATCTAAAACTTGCAACCCTAGACCTCTGCCTTCTGACTCAAGGCAGTAATCAGGTTCCTGGTGTAGCTGCTATTTGGAACACTATGAATGGTAAATGGCTTCCCAGAAGTAGCATGGCTATGAAAAACAAAATAGTATAACCATCGCCTCATAAATAATTTTACAGCCTTCACCTTTCAGCCGAAATAAAATCACTTGAAAAAGGCAGAAAAATACCTGACGATTTATCACTCAACATGCTTCAGAATTTGATGGCCTTGACCTGCTAATTTTTAGGATCGACTAGATCCACAACAAGATTCAGTGAATTTGCAATGTTGTGAAGTGGTGATACTGCCATTCAATGCTAAGATGTTTCTAATTGGGAATGTTTCTTTGGATAAACAAAGGCATGGGTAAACTATTACTATCATTCAAATGGATTCCTTTCACTCATCATTGTAACGGCAATCCCTTCCTCCATAGTATCAATGCATTTTTTATAGCATTGATTATATGTACTTGTATGGTATGGAACAGTTTCCCAGAAGCCAAATACTTTCTGGTGACTTCTAGCAAAATACACATTTATATTACAATCAAAGTTTGGTTATGGATATAGATTGTGGCAAAGCACTTAAGGGCTGCTTTCACAGAAGAATTTTTTGTGGAAAACTGACTTAATTCATGCTATGTTATAGCTGCAAAACCTCTCATGCAATCAGCATTTATGGGGACTTGAACTTTTTGTACAAGGAAATAAAAACTGCATGTGAATATTAATAACATATTTCTAATGTTTCAAAGCTTATGAATTATTCATGCATCGTATTAAATTTTTTTTGCAACAAAATTATAAATTAGAGAAATTAAACATTAGTAAATCATAAAAGAATATCACTGAAAGTGATTTAAGGGGGAAAAAATCAACCTTGAATTATTTTAATTTAGTGACTGATTGATCCCTCAAGGCAAGTTGAAAACAGGGAATCAAACTTTTTATGTTTTAATTTTTATAATGAGTAAAAAGGTTTCTTAAGTACAAAGACAGGGGTAGCATATAAAAAGTTAGATTTAATATTTCACACAAAACTAATTTTTTTAATTTAAAAATATAAAGAAACATGAATATTTGCACCATTAAAATACTTTTTTAATTGTACATGTCTAAGATCAGTGGTTGTGAAAATAAAAGCTAATTGAGGACTTTTGTGAACACTGCATATATAAAAATATAGCATACCTACTGCATAACCTAGAATTTAAAAAAATTAATGATTAACCTTATGTGCATTATCAGAAATACACTTTAAGTGAGTTTGTTTATTTCCAAGTTAAGCATTTAAATTAATGTTCAAAACAATCTAATGTAAAAATATCCATCTGAAGAGACTAAGATATGTAAAAAAAAATTATTTTCTGCTAATATTTCCTAAGAAAATTTATAACAATGGAAATGGCACAAGAAACACAAAACTGAATAACTCACTGCAGTCTTTTAATCTGATCGTCTAAGAATAAATAACTTTATGTGCTACAAATCAAACTTATTTTATATCTAAACTAAAAAGCAAATGTTGCAAAAAAACTTTTCAATGAACAAAATGCTAAATAAATGAATAATAATCGACAAGGATCAATGTATTATTATGAGGAAATTTACGCTCTATGCCAGCTCTTGTTAACTATTACTGATTTCTTTAGCTCTAAAATATCATTTACAGAGATTAAAAAAATCAGCAATTTTTGCAAATTATGAAAATATACAATACTCACCACAATCTGATATGTCCTTTAGGAAATTTTCGTGTAGATCACCAGTATATAAAACATCTGCACCCTTTTCAGCTATCTCATTTAATGTCCTTGCTAAAACAGGACGTTTCAATATTTCTCCTTCTTTATATAAATCATTTGTTGCATTATTCAAAAATTCTTCCCTGAAAAAAGTAAATATTATCATTTTAAAATAAAGATAAATCACTTGTTGCATTATTCAAAAATTCTTCCCTGAAAAAAGTAAATATTATCATTTTAAAAGAAAGATAATAATTGAGTTAAGTCCTAAGATAGTAAGTAAGATTTCAAATGTGTGTAAAAGGACAAATTACCTCATGGAATTATCAGCTAATATTCGCTTCTTAACTTTTTGCAGATATTTTGCTAAATGTTTAGATACTTCAAAGCCATCATTGCAAATTTTAATTGAAGGTTCAATTAGTGATTTCCATGGTAACTTTCCATACTTTTCATGAGCCATTTTGTAACCTCTTAGTTCCCCAGGAACTGCTACAGAAAGTCCTCCTACAAAGAACAAAAACAGAAAGGAACTCTCTTAAATATAAAACATAAAATATTTGTATCTAGTTAGTAGCTAAATCATAATAAAAAAATAAAGTATAATAATAAAACTCATTTCTCAATTTTATGACCAATGATATTGATATTTAATTTTTATTTATAATAAAAGTAATTACATTAATAAGGATAACTAAGACTGTGTTGAAAATAAAAATGTATACTATGACTGATGCACTTAAAAAGGATATCTTATAACATCTGAAGGGTAACTAGCAGTATTACTGTGATAAAAAAGTTCCTAATAGTTTTATGAAATGATATTTTATTATTATTTATGAAACTTTAAAATATTTATGAAATTTCATAATTTGAAATGTAATTTCATAAAATCATTTCTATTATATCATATGTAATTTCATAAAATTACTAATGAATGTAATTTCATAATAGAGATTTTAAATAATAGAGATTTTTCTGTTATGTAATGTAATTTCATAATAGAGATTTTAAAGTGGAAAGCGTTTTGATTGATGTCATTTCCTCTTTCTTTCCCATTAACATAAAAAAACGACAAATTTCATGTGCCAGATGAAAAGAAACTAAGTAACGCTGGACATATACCAGTGAAATTTAGATCCAGGCAGTGTACCTCATAGAAGAAGATACATGTGTGAAACATGCAATGTGGGTCTGTGCATGTATCAAAAAGACAAAACATGCTTTGAACAGTGTCACAAAAAATATTTGTTCTTTGACACTGGGGGGGGGGACCCCACCAAGTTTTTTTTTTTATTTTTATTTTTTATTTTATTTATTTTTTTTATCCTTATTTTACTGAGTTTTTTAATCCATTTAGCCAAATGTCTTTATTATGTAGGTACTTATATTTTCACTGCCATAGAAAAATTACATAAATGTTAATTTTTAATTTTTTCTGATGATTTACTTTGTAAAATAATGTAAAAAAGTTATGTATTATGCAATTCCTACATGCATTTTTAAAATTCGTAAATTTCGTCATTTATTGGAAATGCGCACAGAGAGAGGTAAGTTTTTTTTTTTCCTACTACCTAGGTAATTTTCAAAGTCCTAGACGGGGGTGGTTTCACAGTGCGACCACCACCCACAGAACAATGGGCAATAGTAGATTTTTTTTAAAAATTCATATATTATTTGTCTCTAGGATCATACTATTCAATTTCTATAGTTTTTAGTTAACAAATTATCTATAAAAATAATATCCCATGCATCAAAGGGTTAAGAAATAAAAATATAGATGAACATTTATTTTATTTAGCCCTCTTCCGAATTTCTTTGAAATCACAGCACCGTTAACTGTAGCTCAAAATCATTGTTAGAGATATAGTGTCCCGTATTTATTTCAGGTACCAACATAGTGGATCAGGCCTGCATTAAAACTGCTCAGCTAAATATGTCTGTTATAATTAGTAATAATTAGGCAGTTTATATATATAGTAATTATATATGTGACTTATTTAATATTTGTTTTTGCGTAGAAACTGTAGTTTTAAATGTAATTTTTTTTTTTTTTTTTGTAATTGCTTTAACTGTATTTGGTGTTTTATATTTTTCAATTTTTAATAAAAGTATTTTGAGTTTTTATGTAATTTTGCTTTGCTGCGAAGTGACAACTGAATTAATTTAATGGGAAATATATCTAATGAAATAAGTTTAAATGAAATGCAGGGAAAAAATGTGTATAATTTAATATTCTGTACAAGGAAGTCATGTGGTGTACAAATAATATTTTTTTTTAATGGCTTACCTTGTTATACAGCTAAGCAATTTATTGTTATAATTTGAAAGCTTTTATTTTGATTGGAAATAAATTGTTATTAACAACTTAACCAATAGATTTCTTACAAGCTGGAAAAGCAAAAAAATTCCTTATGTAATAAGATTCTAATAATGACATTAGTACCACAATACAATATTTCATAACTGAATACAAGGGAGGAATGACTACATAATAGTAAAAAAGATACCCTCTTGAGATGAAGTTGAATTGCCCTTGAACATATCTTTATCAGCATTTTTTGGAGCACTCTCTCGTGCATCAATCACAGCAGAAGTTTTATTTTCTCTGAAAGCATAAATATATATATATATATATATATATATAAATTTACATGGAAGATATTTTTAAAAAAAGTTCTAAAAATATTATTAAATAAGGAGCAGAAATTCTTTATAATCATATTATTTTATTTTAATAACATTTAGTTTTACATTGGTTAACGTTATAACATTGGTTTAATATTTAATTTAACATTGGATGAAAAAGAATAACAGAAACAAAGAAAACTCATTAACTGTAAATTTACTTCAATGGAATGAGTACTATCTGACCCATTACACAATAACTTTCTAACATGTTTTAATATTTAATTTAACACTGGATGAAAAGAATAATAGAAACAAAGAAAACTCATTAACTGTACATTTACTTCAACGGAATGAGAACTATCTGACCCATTACACAATAGAGTTAGTTTTAAAAAATGGCATATGTTAAATTTTGGTAGCTGATGTTTAGATATTTATAATTTATTGATTGATTGTTTTTAAACATCATGCAAAAGAAAGTGAAGAGAGCATATTACTGAATTAATTTGATATACAGACTGTGAAAGATTAACATACCTGATATATATTGTCATAAGAAAGCCACCACCAAATCCCATACTCTGTGGATTGACAACTCCATCACAAAATAAGGCAGCCAAAGCAGCATCAACAGCAGTTCCATTCTTTTCAAGAATATTTCTATAAATAAATATTTTGGTTATAAAACATCTTATTAAAATGTACTTTTACAACCAATGTATGGTAATTTTAATGCTCTTCTTAAGTTCAAGTAAAAGTTCAAATAAACCCACGAAAATAGATACTTAATCTGTAAGAAATAGCCATCAGTTTCAGAGAAAATTATTTCATTGATAAAGTTTGCCAAATGATATATTAAGCATATGTTAATAAATAAATTTAATTATCGAAATTGATAAAAATAGTTACAAGAGTACTCAAACTAAATAGTACCTAATTTAAATTCAAATTTTCACACAGTAAAATAATTTTAATATTAATAATAATAATTTAGTAACAAATTTATTCATAGTAAAATGTACTCGCGGGCCGTAAAAATAATTTGGCGGGCCGCCAGTTGGTCAGCCCTGCTTCAGATCATAACTTCATTATTTCATAAATCACGATTTCATATTTTTAATTTTATAATTTCTACATGCCATTTTACTAGATTTAAACTGCTGATCTAATATTCGGAAAAATCCCAAATCCGGAATCATCGAATTCCCGACCGAGTCTGGATTTCGTACCTTGTACTGTATTCTCTATCTATCTTAAAAAAACACCCTCCTTTTTGGGTTTTCCTGTTTCACACAAAATTGAGTTCAGAATTACTTAAAATATGAGTATTTTATTTTTAAATTTCAGTCTGTAAAGCAAATAGTGATAGTATTTTTTATCTCTCAATTAAAGTTAATTAAAGTTCAATGGATTAAGAAGCAAAACAGATTTATGAAAAGACACCGAAGGCTCTATCACTCTGGTACATCATTGCTAATTGCACACAGTACAGAAAATGTGTTTGAATTTCTTTGTTTTTCAGTAAAATACAGTCAAAAGTTGCTAATTCGGACACCCATAATCCGGACCTCAAAGCTACAAATTTTCTGCGACGCATGCGCGTAAGACCTTTACTGCTGCGAATATGCTTGTGCGCATGCGCAAAATAAGTTTACAAATGCGCGTTTAATGTATAACGGACGGTATAAGCTAAGCTAAAATTATCTAATTCAGTTAACGTTGCAGATTGCGTTGTTCTTTAATCTTCGAATTGGATTCGGCTTATTATTTTTTGCAGACTGTTAGAGCAATTTTATAAAAGTAAGCTTGAACTTTCGATTATGTCAAATAGAAGTTGTGATATATATTTACTATTATGTAAAGGATCTACAAAGCGAAAGTATGTTTCAAAGTCCATTAAACAAAAAGTGGAATTGCTGCAAAAAATGGATAAAGGCATATCCTTTGTTTATCTAAACTTTAATGTTTGTTTATCTTTAACGCCACGGCGCGCAATGAATTGGAAGTTGATCTGTCAGCACTATCCTTATCTTCAGGGCAGATGTTTTTATTTTATTTGGCTTATAATTCCTTACTAAATGTAGTATTTCATCTCGATGTACTCCGTCTTTGATATGATTTAAATCAAATTCCTCGTCATTATAATTCGCTTCCGATAGTGAAGAAAGTAACAGAGGTTATTGAAAACGAAAAAATTTCGATTGACAAATTAGTCGGTATTCTCGACACAGCAATTATAGGACTTGAACAGCGGAACTTTGTAACTGAACAAGAAATTATGTCTGTTTATAGAATTAAAAAAGAAGTATTATCACATAAAACGAAGCAAGCAACTTAAACAACTTACATTGAAAGAAATGTTTAATAAAGTAAACAAATAAATATTAAGCTTTTTTTTTTGTAAATTTTGATACCCTTTAGATCATAATTGTTTTTTATTTCATAAATTACGGTTTCATATTTTTAATTTTATAATTTCTGCATGCCATCTTACCAGATTTAAACTGATGATCTATAATCCGGGAAAATCGATAATCCGGAATCGTCGAAGTCCCAACGAGTCCGGACTAACGACTTTTGACTGTACTACTTTCATGATTACAGAAACAGGAAGTTCTGAAAAGTGTAATTAAATATATAATAGTATTAGCATTTAAAAAATTTATTTTAATGGCATGTCATAATAACCAATAGTTAATGCTTTGCTTCATAATAAAATAAATATAATTTTAATATTAATGTTTTGTAACATAATATAGAATTTTATCAAAATATTTAACCTTTGAAGATTTCTGTTACATAATAAACATTATATAATTACTTTAACATCTTTATTTTTAACAATAATAATATAAGGAATAAATGTCTGCATTTTTCACATAGCCTAAAGTTTGAAACTGCATTTTTAAATCTTTGAGACATTTGTTTTGAAGATCAGACACCAATTCAAAGAAATAGAGGAAATCTGCTCTAAGAATGGGAGTACTAACATTTGATATTAGAATAGTCCAAGTAAACTGACACATTAATTTAAAATCCAAAGAATGTGTTCTGACCATTAGCATGAGTAGTTGAAGAATTAGCAGCAAGAGTATTTGCAGAGGAGAATTTCGTTTTTGAGAATTGTTTACCAGAAATAAGGACATGTCATATCAGAGTCAACCAAGAATGAAACATTTGTTCTCCACTGACGAACGAACAAGCGACATGAAATCTGAGACAAAGAATAAGTTGCCTCTATTCCTTGCTGGTTTCATTTTCCTGCCATGAACAAGGTTAGGTAAGCTTGTTTTTCTCTATAATTTTTTCCAAAATGATTATGATACCAGCACATAGAATAATTTCTCTTTTTCAAACTGCTTTTTTTTTATTGCAGCCTCTATGACTTGGTGGGCAACCATGAGAAAGAGAGACATGATCAATATGCTAGTTTAATTTTACTGTTTCTTTAAACACTATCCTCAAGAGACTGATGGACTCAATAGACTGTGTGAAAAACGCTGCAAGTCCCATAGGTCAGATTTACTTCCAAGATTCTGTCCGCAATTTCTGTAGCTTTGCGTAAAGTTAAATTGGAAACCATGGCCAAAACAGACTGGTTGGTCGAATGACAGCATTTAAGGATTCCACTAAATGTTTCATATTCCTAAGTTAATCAGAAGGCTTTCAAAAACCTAATTCTGATCTAGATGATAACTGGCAAATTTCTTGGTGGGAAGATTTCATCTGATTGGTTTACTAATTTAATTTAGAGCTTTGTATATGGGTCAGTAGGATCTGATTTCATAATCCTGAACTAATGATGAAATACTGAGAGGGAGATGAGAAACTACATAATTATACTTAGTGTCTGATTCTGTGACAGGTCTGGGATGGCAAGAGCAGACATGTAAACTATATGGCTAGGTCTGATCTGTTATAAACTGGAATTTGGATGGCATCTACATCAGACATTGTGCAAGGTTTCAGCCAAAATAAAAGTAAAAATGGAACTATATAATATAAAATATGAATGATATATAAAAAACAAAACAATGAAATAATCTATAATTAGTACTCAACTGTGATCAAGAGGATGACAATCGATGCAATCCATAATTTTTAGTTTAGAAATCTTTGGAGAAGGGCAGTTGTCAAAACCGAAAGTATTTGTGAACTTTTCACAAGACCTGATTTAGTGGTGTCTAGAAATCCCCATTTTAATATGGTGCTGATTTTAGTTGTCCATAGCACATTAAATATTCTCATTGCATTCATCAAGAACTCCAATCAAACAATACAAATTTATCTTTAAATTTTCACAATAAAAATTTATCTTTATTTCAAGACTTCAAACATGCGTACTTCTCTCCTTGACAGCCGGTGTCTTTAGCTGCATTTCTATATAAACTTCTCCTACTTAGAGTTGCCGTATTTTATTGGCAGCAAAGCGTGCTTATTTATCATTCACCATGACTCATTACCACAATTCTCATCATTCTTGACTAGAAATAAAGATAAAAAACAGAAATTGAAAAGAATTTCCGTTTCTTTCAAATAAAGAAACCTTTCAAAATTTTAACAGAAGCATAATATAGATGGCAATTTACCATTTTCTTTGTTCCTAAGCATCATGAAATCATTTTGCTGTCAGTTAACAAAAATAGCTAAACATGTGTTTCTTTCCAGCATTAAAAATCTTTACAGCTTTTATTACATGTAAGCAGTGAGCCAAAATTTAAACTATAGAATGTATGCAATTCATTAAAACCATACATGTAATGAGTTTATATGTAATGACATGTATTTCCTTTAATCAGAATTTTCAGCAGGATTTTTCTAGGGAAATTGGATATACTTATGCTACACCTGAGAAATTTCTAAATAAACATGATTAAAAAATGAAGTATTATTTTCATCAAGAACAAAGAAATTCTTGATGATTAACTGCAAGGTTGAACATTAATCAAAATTTTTTAAGTTAATTCTTCTAGATTATCTTACTTTCTTTTCTTGATCAATTTACATTCAAATTAACCCCCAAACAGTTGTATTTTTAAAAGTACAAATATATTTTTAAAAAATAACAGTGATCCAAATCTGCAATTGCATTAATTGAAAAGCAATACAAACAACAGTTTCTACAAATGTAACAGAAAAATTACAACAAAATAATCAGATAACTATTTATAAACATAATGAGATTGACAAAACTCTGAAGAAAGGTCTATTTTATTCTCATAATTTCTAACAAGGAAATTATGAAGTAATCTTCATTCAATTATAAAAAACAAAGCTATCATTTCATAGGAAATAGCTTTTCTATAGATTTCTTTTCTAAAAATATTAGACAGAAGGTCTTTTAATATTAATGCTGTGCTAATGGTACAGACATCAGTCATAATTTCTGTCCTTTTCTTCTCCTAGTTTTAATTCAGTTGCATGCTCTGAAGACCACCTGCATGGTTTAGGAAAAAGGGAAGTTTTGAGGACAGCTTAATGGAAGCTTTAACAATTAGTGAAGATTGAACTGAAAGCTCAAAAGTTGACAACAAATTTCTTCCATAAATTTTTAAAAACCTTACTGTTCTATTCTACATTTTTAATATGTAACAAAACTTATTGATGTACAAAAGTATATAAGAATTTTCTAAAATTTAATGGGAAAAGTACTGAAAAACATCATAAGAAAAAATAAATAAATAAATAAATAAATAAAATAAAAAATGAAATAATAATAATAATAATGGAATATAATTTTAAAATTTAGCACCATTCCAAATTGTTACGAAATTTTTCATAATTTACTGTGATGAATTAATATTATATGGATATCAATAATCAGTTAAAAACTATGAATAACTGGAAATTAATTACTCACTGATAATTTCACAGAAACTTACTTTCCAATAGCTGCACAAGGCTTTCCATCTGTTACAACTACAGCTTTATCAAAAGTGAGGAGTGGAGATGACGATTCAGGAAATGAAGTATCTAAATACTGCTGCCTTTTTTCATATATTTTTGGCAATCCAAGAGCTAATGATGTTGTTATTAAAATGAAAGCTGCAACTAAGGTGACTGAGACAATAATCGCATCTCTTTTGGTACATATACACCTAGAAATAAAGAAATACAATTATGATTAAAATTTTATTAAGTCTTTTGTAAACACAGATAAAATTTAAACTTTTTACCAAAATAGGAACTTCAATTAAAGTTTCATGCAATGAACGGAAATTTTTATTTTCTCAGATTGCACACTATAAACAATCATCAGCAGTAGGGTACACATTTACATACATCTAATAATGCCCATTTCCATGTTAACTTTTATTAGCGGCATTATGGTTGAAACTGTGTAATATGTTGTATAAATAAACAACTTCATACAAGCTTTTAGATAATTTCTAACTTAGGATATGTGACCACTGTTTTTAGAATGCAAATTAAAAAATTTCCAATGATGATTATTTTATGCATAGGTTACAAAATAGCGCTACATTGTAGTGGCAATGCATAAGTAAAAAATTACTGCTTCTTTGGCCTTGATAATGGCTGCTATATGAATACACATTATTTCTATGTAAAGGTTCTGGATAATCAAATGCTTTTTAAAATTTCTTCCAGAATCAGTTCAGGATGATGGTGGTGGATGACATGCTTGTATACTTTTTTAGGTCCGATAAATGCCTAAATGGTTAAGATTGCTGAATATTAGTAGCTCAACTGATTTTAAACCAAGATGAACAAATAGGTTGGCTACATAGTTGTGATTTGTGGTTTTTTTGCCATGTGTAGTATGACTGTGTTACTGTGAAAGACAGATATCTGGCAAATGTTGATATGCTCAGGTGAATGTCAGCATTCATAGTCGCTTGGTGAATGTACGAAATATTTGCTAAATATAATTACTTCTCACTTACACTGGCAGATGTTAACATTCAGCATACACTGATGGTGAATGTTGAATAAAATATTCTTTTTTTTGGGTTACGTTAAGCTAAAAATGCAACTTTTATTAAAGCACATTATTACACACATCAAAATTATGTGATGAACATTATACAGTCTTATTTATTACAACAACTTAAACTGTTATGACACTCAGAATAGCGCAAGGGTCGCTTATTTTTACGACTGCATTCAAGTCATGGAATACTTCTTCCTGCAATTACAGCATAGCATATATAGCCTTATTCACCATTTCCAGAATTAGTTGCAACTGCTTCTCTCAGCAGTCATTCTTGAGAAGAAATCTTGTGTATGGAAAGTACCTTTTTGTACAATCTGTTTAAAAATTTATTTATGAAAGTCAGAGTCTTCAGTTATAACAGCCGCCAATACAATTCACGCATCTGTATGACCACGGTCGACATCAGGGAGCTCTATCTCAGAAAAACAAAAGACTCAGCATTTTTATAGCTTCTCTTTCAGATTTCAGAGCTTATCTGTGCTTGTTGACATATACAAGCAACGGTTCGAATGTACAAGAAAATAATCAAATATTTGGTCTTTCACCAATGTATATAAAATGTTTTGACGTTCACTAGAGAATAATGACATTCTCTAATTTCAGTTTTTCATGTGATAAAATACAAGCCAATTTCTCTCAGAAAGGCTTCAGAAAAGCATGCTCCCATAGGTAGATGGTCCTCCTGTGCTTGCCACCAATCAAATAAAATAAATTAAGCTTTTCTCCAAGCATTCAAACATGTTCAATGGGATTTAAGTTAGAGCATCTAATTACACATTGCTCAAAACAATTAGGGAATGTTGTCAGTTCGGCATGAAATAACCATAGAATCAACAACTTTTCTAACAAAAATTAAATAAAAAAGTTTAGAAAGGAAAATTATAACGTTGACAAAGTTGGGACTATGTAAATTTTGTCTGTACCATCAAAAACTATCCATTTTAGATAAAGAGTGAAAAGCGACCTGCAGCATTCCTTATGTATGAGGAGATTAAAGACAATTGACATGCATTAAATGTTTTGTTGTTGACCCAATGCTTACTTGTCTGACTTATGGTCAGCCCAAGACCACAAAATTCCTCATGGCAAGGGGTGCAAGATTACGCCTGTCGTTGGTAGGTGCCTTGAGCACCTTAACTGATGACAATGCAACTTAGCTCAGTTCTGCCCCAATTTTTTAGGAAAGCATACCCCGTGGGAAGGGGTCCTACGGCGTCTCACCCCTCTTTTCCCACCAGCAACCTTTCGAGAGGACTTTCGGCTCCCCACATATTTAGAGTGCTCCAATGCCGCACGGACAATATACATTTACAAACATCCATGCCTTGTCCGGGATCCGAAGCCATGTCCTTTGGTACAGCAGTCAGCAATGCTAACCACTATAGAGGTTGATTCGAAGCCATGTCCTTTGGTACATCAGTCAACAATGCTAACCACTATAGAGGTTGGGTGGCATTGAATGTTTGTTAACAGTGAATATAATGTCTCAGCAAGATGACTTAGATGAATCGGTAACTTGGAGGGCCATCAGTCATTTAGAAGTGAAGCAAACACAATCCGTTGAAGAGGAAGCGTTAGGTTGTTTCTCAAAGAACATTTCTAGACTATGGAATCAGTTTCTGGAAACTGGAAATGTTCACCGATGATCGGGACAAGGTCTTCAACCTGCAACAACACAAAACGAGGATCGGTATTTAACACTAACGATCAAAAGAAACGGCAATACGAACGCCACTTTCTTGCGACAGCACCTTCAGAGAGCTACTGGTACCAGAGTTTCGACTCAAATTCTTCGAAACCGACTGCTTCATGTGAGTTTGTATACTCGCAGACTTACGGTTTATGTTTCGTTGACACAGGACCACCGTGCTGCCCGCAGAAGGTGTTTGGTGTTTGATGTATTTAATTATGGCAAAGCACACGAGGGCTATCTGCCTAAGGGGAGGGATGCCTTCGTGGAGGTCTTTCTAAGGGAAACTGGCTTGTATACACGTTACATATGGGAAAAACCACGAAAACGCCCATGCAGCCAGCCCGTTCGCGGGATTCGAACCTCGGACCGAACTACCAGTGTTCAGCGACTTTACTGCTCGGCTGCTGGTGGGCTGCCCGCAGAAGGATACATGTGGTTAATGAGCTTAACTGGGGCTTGTTTTTGAATAGGAATTATATTACGAAATACTAAAAATGTATGCTAAGGCTTTATTTTTCGACCAGGTCTAGTTTTCCAAAGAGTAAGGTATGCTATTCATTCTAGCCAATTTTTCATACAGCTTTTTCATTCTAGCAAACACAAAGTTTGCCTCTCCTCACATATACACGTGGCAGAGAACTCTTGCCTAAAGTGATAGTTTTTCTAGGCTATTTCATTATATTCTTACTTTGCCATTGTTCCTTCCCGAGAGAGTATTCTTTTACATGTAACATACAATGCTACATGTCAAAACAGTTATATCAGAATGAAAGTAGAGATTAAAACTCTATGCTGCCCATAAGTAGAAGCCATTTTATTTTTATTGTCACAATCAGACAATAATAAAAATGCATCAGAGTGAAGATTTGTGTCTTTATCTCTGAATTAAACAATAAAAGTTGGTTTCATATATTTCGGAAACCACTTCAACACATAAGACATGCATTTATGAAGATTGGCCACCCATTATAATCTCTTTCATTATCCTTTAAGATTCAGGGTTTAATTCAGACTTTACATCACCTAAGATTTTTACATGTTATAAAGCAAAATATGTAGCATAACTGATCAAATACATTACAAATTTTAAAAGCAATATTTTTTACTTCTAAAATCTGTTTAGTTTTAAATAAGTGTTTCGTTAAAATCCTTCGAATGGGAGTACGGAAATAGTTACGCTTTCGTTAATAAATTAATTAAGCTCTTAAAAGAAAGGAAAATAAACCGTAGCTGAAAAGCATAGAGTCTCCATGTTACCTCTTATCAATTTATCATTAGATCTTTGCAGTGAACTTTCTCTGTTTATTACAGCTGTACCAGAGAGGATTTATTAAAAAAAAGTATCTCGATCAAACACATTGTTTTTGTATTACTTACATATAATAACAGAATGAAACTTGTCCAACACAGCTAGCCTTTGTCTTAAAAAACAAATGTTCCTGCCACGATAACTGTTAATAGTTGTGAGTTCATTCCACTATTCCTTTTAAACAGCGAAGAAGGAAGGCATAATGCCAAGACAAATCTATCGGTGTCATGGAAAATGAGTTAGTACACTTATGTCATAAAATTCATAAAACTCCATGTACCTGAGTCTCACGGTAAAACAAAAGAGGCAGTGCACGTATCCAAACTGCTTTCTCAGCCTCCAGTAGGATTTTGTTCGATTCTAATTGAAGAATCGCAACTTTGGATATAGTAACTGTTTTGTCAATTACTTCTACACCATAATTAGTCTTTATTTCTTAAAATCACCCACATTTTCATAAAATCCAACAACAAACTTTTATTGCCTGATATTAAACTATATAAGCCATGGTACCATATACATCAAATTAATACTTCATCAACCTAGCATTTTGCAAGTGTGACAGTCTGTTCCAGCAAAGTATTCATTATGCGGGATGCTGTTTCTCATACGTTACTAAGCAAATATTTTAAAATCGTTTCCGATCTAAGTTTAAAATTGCGAAACATCATAAAAAAATTCCAGGGAACATTTGAAAACTAAGAATGCAGGAAGTGTTTTGGAAATTTACTAATATACAGGGTGGTTATAATTAAAATTCCACTTTGAAATGGTCATAAAAGGAAAACTACTGGACAAAAATGTTACAAATTTGGTAATTGTATAAAGGATGTCATGGGAATTTATTTTCAGTGGGGAGGGGGGGGGAGGAGAACTTAAAAACTCACCACCAGGGGGAAATTGTGATATATGCAATACAGCTAAACGAAATAAGTGTCGGAATCTAACTTAACCTTTCGTTACACGGGTTTAACATGTTGTAAACCTTAAAAAACATTGACCTTAACAAAATTACCATTTAAAGACAAAGGCGATAAAAGTCGAGTGCGCCATCCGTGTAACGGAGAAATCCGTTCGTGAAAACCATAAATTAGCGATTAGAAAATGTGAGATCGCAATCACTCACAAAATTGTGCGCATT